TAAGCAAATACGCTCACATAGGTACCAATTACGAATTTTTTGAAATCAAAGCGACATTACTGTCGATAACCTAATATGATCAATTATTTATTGCTTATCTTATTTATGCTCACGTTCCAACCACGCTCGAATTCAGTAGCTAAAATTTTTCTTTTCTCCCAGTCTGACGAAATGGCAATTCAAAAAAATTCCGGAATAGACTGAATGTAAAGGTTGTTATGCATTGTATTTCAATCTCACTCGTTTTCATTCAGAAAATTTTTGCAGGGTTCCTAAGAACTTCTTCGTTACTGGCAGTGTATTAGATCTTACGTTCGGCAACTTAGACCGATACGATTGTGTCTACTCGGCTAGAAAGATTGCAAGTTTCTCTTCATCCAGATTTGATTAGAGGAGAAATTAGATCTCAACTGGTAATAATCACGCAACACTGAATTTTTCTTTGAGTCGGGTCTGCTTGAGATGTGCAGATGCTCACATCTCAAGCATAGAACACAGACCGATCTTTCTTTTTATTGTTAGATGACCTCAGTGTAAGTGGAATGAATTTCAAGTTATAAGAAACGTTTTTTCGGAAATACGATATCACTGAAATTTGCAAAGACTCCTTCTCTTTCTCGCAGTGTACTACTGTCGATTTCAGCAGTGCCTAAAATGCTTCAGTTCTCACTCAGACGATTCGTCAGAACTTCCGCAGAAGAGGCGAAATTTGCAGCGGTTTCGCAGTATTTTGTTTAGTATTGCAAAACTGAACGTTGGACGTTGAAAATGGGAACTTCCGCAGGATTTTCACGTCAGACCGGTTAGAATCGGATAATTCTGCAAGACCTTTTAGAAAGCGCTGCGCAGCTTCCGAAAATGCCAGCGGTTTCGCAGCACTTTGACATGCCAGTATTCCGCAAGTTTTTGTGTTGTCTCGTACGATATTGCCTCGCCAAGTACTAGAGTGCATTATCGAACTGTCATCCATTGTGCAGAGGATAGTGGTGAGTCTCGCAGTCAATAGAGTAAAGTTCAAATCTCGCTTAGGTGTCCTCTTTTGCTTTGCAGTCGCATTTTCGGAACTTAAGCAGCATCTCATTTGAGAATTTCTACAGCACGTTTACGAACTTCCGCAGGTGACTCGGCGAAACTTTACCAAATGTTCTCCGGAAGTTCCGGTCAGTTCTCTGGGCAAACAAAGATGTTAGCATTTGCTTCCTTTTCAAATGTACAGACTCGGGCTGAATTCCATGCGTTGCTTCCTTATTCATGGAAGATTCTCTTGATCTTTCTTAAAAATTCCAATTACTTGAAGTCCTTACATTGGTCTACGAATAATCCATCGTATTTGCATCCAGTCAATTCGGCGATCTCATAGTAACTCGCTCAGATATCATCAAATTAAGTCAATGGATCTCAAATTGCAAAGCATGTTCCTGTTTATCACGAGAAGGAAAGCATTATCATGTTTTTTCGAATTTTGCAAAAGAAATTCTCGTTACTCAAAGTGCTTTTTTTCGAATTTGCAAGGGAACACCGTTAGAGTTGCAATAATGGAACTCGATGATAACCTCAGTGACAGGACTGCAACTTCTCATAGGTAAAAAGTTTAAATCAATTTGTAAACTCTTTCTGTTTCATCATTCGCAAAAAACTGTCATTAAACTTTTCTCAACATTTTTGCAGAAATTTTCTGTTACTCAAAGTGTATCAAAGCGACTTTGAGTCATCTGATCGTTATTGCATGCTTAAAAGTAGGCAACTCATAAGGAAGGGACACTAACTTGGATTCGCCTTTTGAGATGAGGCACATATTTTTGGGATCAGCTTCAAACGCTGATTCCAAATATGTTGTTATAAGCTGCTTAGCATTATTATGGAGCGAGTTATGGTCTCTTTTCTATGCAAAGTTTGCGTGCTCCTCGACCTACTGATACTACGGTGTAGACGTCTAGACGGTTTCACAGTTGTAAAATACTCCCTAAGATTGAAAAATTAAACTGAGGCTAGTTTAACATCCTAGCACTTTTTTCGAGCAATTTCTTATCTAAACGCCGTCTACGACATTCAGAAGTTTGGAATCGTTTGGAATCAGCGTTCGAAGCTGACTCCAAATACAGGGTGTCCCAAAAAAAATGTATCGAACGTTTGATCGTCAATATCTCTCTTCTAAAGAAGTCTTTTCCCCTGCTTCAGGTACCAACCTGTAGAGCTGGCTTCAACTTAGATTTGCATTATAGAACGAATCACTCATCTCTCTTCATTACTATAGGATTACGATAGAAACTTCAAAAAGGGTTTTAAGCAATGAAAGGCCATATTTTGCCTCAGAAAAAAAAACAGCCCGAAGACTTTTATACTAGGCTGATTAGAGTTGCGATTATAACTGTAAAGTTCCCAACTTGTTATGATGCTTCATTGAAGAGTTATGCCAGGTAAGAGGTAGCGGCCATTTTTTCAATGTTCTTAAAAAGTGCGATTAAACCGTTTAGAAAGCTTCGTAATCTTGTGAATAGTTGAATATTGAACTTAGCATCCATAAAAACCCTACTACACATGTTTTCACATTTTTTGAAAAATTTTGAAAAGGCAGCTTTTTCCTTATTGATACCATATGTTTCTACCGTAATCCTACAGTAATAAAAAAAGATCGGTAATTCATTTTATAATGCAAATCTAAGTTGAAGCCAACTCTACAAAACGGTACCTGAAGCAAGGCAAAGGACTTCTTAGGAAGAGAGATATTAACGATCAAACGTTCGATACATTTTGACACCCTGTATATGTGTCCCATCTCAAAAGGCGAATCTAAGTTGGTATCCTTTTCTCGTCAGAAGAAGGAATCTAGATCTCAATTTGTATTAGGTTGTAACAGAATTAATGCAGGTTTTGAATTCCAACCGCAATGAGTCATACACTTCCCATTTCTAAGTAGGTTGCAAAATACCATTCGATAGAGCAAAGCAATCTCTATAAGGTGGAAATCTTGCTTTAGCAACAGCTCTAATCCACCACGAGTTTTGAGCCAAAAACTAAAAAGATTCAGCTGTTTGAAAAATTGAGAAAAATCGTAACTCAGTTCATAAAAAAACCTACAGAAATTCTAATTTGCTCATGTAAACACTATTCACATAAGACATCTATACACGCCTTTGTCGTATTTTTTGTCCGTTAGAAATCAAGAAAACGGAAATTTTCGTGCGTTTACCAAAGTGATGCTGTGCCGTTCCCACATGAGTAGTTGTATACTACAAAGCTGTAGAAGTACAAACGTAAATTTTCAGCTCTCTACAAGCTTTAGTTCTCGAGAAATTTGAATTTTAGCTTGGACCACATGACTAGCGAAAACTGTATTCGATATTTTTCGAGAACTAAAGCTTGTAGAGAGCTGGGAACTCACGTTTATACTTCTACAGGTTTGTAGTATACAACTACTTATGTGGGAACGGCACAGCATCACTTTGGCAAACGCACGAAAATTTCCGTTCTATTGAATTCTAACAGAGAAAAAATACAGCAAAGGCGTGTATAGATGTCTTATGTGAATAGTGTTTACGTGAGCAAGTTAGAATTTTTGTAGGTTTTTTATGAACTGAGTTACGATGTTTCTCAATTTTTCGGAGAGCTGAATCTTTTTAGTTTTTGGCTCGAAACTCATGGTGGATCAGAGTTGTTGCTAAAGCAAGATTGTCACCTTATAGAGAGTGCTTTGCTCTATCGAATGGTATTTTGCAACCTACTTAGAAATGAGAAGTGTATGACTTATTGCGGTTGGAATTCAAAACCTGCGTTAATTCTGTTACAACCTAATAAAAAGGTTTTTTTCTGACATTCATAAAAACCTTTCAACAAGATAATTTTTGATCTTACCGAAAATTCTCAGTTCAAAGAATAATAGAGCACCTCGAATTTTTACCGTTGATAAAGTCCTAGCCGCAATTATCCTTCGTTGTGCGTGATTTGCTCGACGTACTCTAAAAAAGGAAGTGGGTTTTATTCTAGAATACGCCTCGTTGCCCTGTCCCAATATTGGAAGGTTCCATTGGAAGAATTTCCTCCAAATTTTTGCTTGAATTTCCCCTTTCTCAAGGTGTATTAGTGCACTTTAACCGAGTAATTGTTGATCCAGGGAAGAATTAGCATCTATTGAAGCCTTTCTTCAGACGTATCCTAAAATCGTTCAAGATAAAGATGGACGAAAGATTTAGAAATATTCGATGCAGAATTTTTTGGTCATTTCAGATCTCATACAGCAAACAGTATATACAAACAGCGAACAACTAAGGTGTCACTCGATGCAGTGTTGTACTCTTTCGAAGGGAGGTTTCTCTCCTTACTAATGAGGGTCTCGAAGATAAAATCATTGTAATTCTAGTTCCTGAACACACCAAGCTGTGACCGGAAAATTCGAAATTCAATATTTCGAAGCGGTAAACACTCACTTGCTTTGTTGAATTGATGTTTAATCGTAATTGAAATCAGACACTAATACTTGAGATCACGGAGCGCTCTACTCTTGAATTAGGGGAGAATAAGGCTTATCGAACACATCAGGTTTCATGGTATAGTAAAAAAACAGATGTCTTCTAATAACAGTTGCTGCTACGCAGAACGATGCGTTATCTCTAGTTTACATTTATTCTCTATTGTGTTAAACCAAGAAAAACATAGCGCTTCAATAAAGACGAAACAGAGACTCTCACTTTTGTAATGTAGAAAATCTAAAGAGAGGAATAACTGATAATGTAGAATACAAGTCAACTATCTCGAACAAACTACTCCGATGATGGCAGTCTTCGATTAGTGACACACACATACCTTTCGATGGCCAATCTATAATGAGATCAAGGCCAGAAAATCGTGGAGAAAAAGGGGTTCTCAAAATGTGTTGGATCAGATGACTATTGGTTTCATAACATAAGGATGAATGTAAGGGGAAATACAAACTCACTAAGCAAACTTATTGCACATTGCGCGATAATGCAACGTGAAGCTGGCAGCCACATGGCCCATGACCGTTAGAAGGTACCAACCTAAAATTGAATGATACTTTGACCACGCAAATTTCAGTCGGATTGTGTTGCTCGTTCTGGCTGAAAAAATGAAGAAGCACAAAAATTTATCTAAATCTATGAAGTTTTGAATGAACAGTAATGTTGTTAGGATGAACCGTTTATAAAAACAAACATGCACTGGCAAACCAGATGAAAATATAACAACCTGGATGTCCTTGATTCAGAATTTACCTTTGAAAACTGTTATGACAAATGGGAGGCCATTCTTTTAAATGCGACTCGGAAGGTTCAAACCGACAACAAATTTTAGCAGTTTATAGGAAGAGGAGGTCCGAAGCTGAGTACGTAAATTAGGGAACGGCCGTAGGTTGCCAAGTGGGTCGGAGGTTGTCGAGGTTGCCAGTGTTGCAAAGGTTGCAGAGGTTGCCGGTGTTGTCGGTCGTTAGGACCTCAAAATAGCCTTCACGTTTCGCACGCTCTCTAAGCTGTCTCTGACCCTGGCAACGCTGGCAACCTTGGCAACTCGGGCAACCTCGGACACAGTTGCCGGCAACCTACGGCCGTTCCCTTGGAAACTTCACAGATCTATGAAAGTGTTGAGTTCAATCTTAAAAAAAGAGATATCACAGAAAGGCCTTACCTTAAGAATTGCTCCCATTTACATGACTCAACTCACTTGGATTCTCTTGAAGTGCATGTAAGGCGCGATATCGCCAGACGATCCAAACCCACTAAGAACCAGGTCAGCCGTAGTGGACTTATGAGCAAGAATATGGCAGTAATCGATACAGATATGGCGATCTACAAGAAAATTAGGTGAAAGGTGTAGATGTATGACAGATGGTAGCGTCATATGTTTAGTACCTAGTACGCACTTCGATGGTTGTTTATAAGACAAGGTGGCAAGGAAATACTTCTGTGACATTTCCAGCGACAACCGCGAAGATAGGGACCGTAGGACCGCACCTTGTTTTCCTGCACGTACCTAAACAATCCTTATCATGAAAAAAAAGGACTGTTATTGAATCGATTTTTACCATTACAGGGTTGAACAGATTCAAATATTGATGCCTTCTTGAAGCTATAACTTACAAATCATGAGCTTTTTGTGCTCAGTGCGAAGGCTTTTCAGTAGCTCATGAGATCCGAGTCAAACCCTTTCTAGAAAACCCTCAAACCCTCTCGCAACATTAAAGCCGTACCGTGCGTGTTCCGTCGCGTTTTAGCAGTCCGTGCGGTCTACGAATCGACGATACTTATTAAATGAAATTAGGAAATTCAGCACAATCTCTGTTGCGACAAAGAGGTTAATACCTTAAGTGATCCGTTTGGGTAAAAATGATTGCAGTTTTTCCTTGCGATGGCAAAAACGCCAATCCTGTCTGAAACTGCCAGACATTCAACGGCGAAGCTCTTCAAGATAATCTTACCTGGTTATGTTTGCCAATCAATGAAATCATCGGGGCATGAAAGTTTGATCAAACCGTACTCCACATGGGGCTGAAAATCTAGAAGGAAAAGATCTAGCAGCAGTATTCTAGGAGAAAATTAAAAGAGCAAAGTTATCGAGAAGATATTGAGTTAATTCAAAATTGTAGTTTGGACTTTAAGATATTTCAACGGCGGTTACTTTCAAATCAGCGAAATGCAAGGGAAACAATAAAAAAAAACAATGGTAGCAGCTATACCTTGAGCATCCTGTCAACTTTTGCCTTAGGGAACTAGCCGGAGGTTAAAGCAGCATTGACCACTTTGAAGTACGATCGTACTTAGTGATCACTAAGCTGCGGTCGAACCAAATCCGCTATCCTTTTGACGGGTGAATGACGAATGCCCATGGTCCAATGATAGTGATCGATGATATGCGACAGGCTTCTACACACCTATAAAAACAAGTACACCCGTGAACTCACACAATAAAAACCGAAAAGCAATCTGTCACGAAAACAACTGCTGTCTCTTATAGCGAACTAGTAGAAAAACACATCATGCCAGCGATTTTGAAATTTTGTGGATGTTTCTGCTCATAAATATGCCTCAGAAACATAAAAAACACAGAAAATAAAGAAATCGATCGAAAATTCGGCAGATAATGAGATGTATGTCATGAACCTGCCGGCATCTCGACGTGGTAGGGGCACGACGAGATGCCGGCAGGTTGCACTCCTCATTAAACACACTATTTCTCTTTCTTTTCTGACATGAGGGCGAGATGCCGGCAGAAATCTCGACAAAATAGCTCACGAAGTTGCCGGCAGGTCAGTCTTTTGGGTCCAAAATTCGACGTTGTCGGGATTTTTTGGATTTTTTTTCGATCTCCATCTGGTGCCCACCTCTAAGCTGGACCGTCAGACCTGGAGAGGGCCAGACTGATAGCTTTGGAGAACCTCTAGAGGGCGTTGACAGTTTTCATGACTTGAGGGCGAGATCGCGGCGAGTTGAGGGCAAGACCTGCCGGCAAGTAGGGTAGATTACTACGGGCCCAGGTATCTCTACATTATTCGTTGGGCTTCATGATCGCTATAAATAATTGAAAAGTTGGCGGAAACTTTCATATTATATAATCTGCATAGGCACTTCCGCCACTGCTTATAATTTTCATGATTACGAGATGAAGACTTAGATGAGCAAAGAGGATTATCAGCCTTAGCTAAAGTGAATCTTTCTTGTTCACTCACTTTTTTTCGTATCCCTGTTACAACGAGCTTGTCTTATATTCTATTTTTGTACACAAAGGTGAAATCTGAGAACTATTTTTTTTTTGCTGCAATCATAAATATTTTTATGTTTACGCTCGAATTTCCGCTCAGGTGTGATCGTCTCCGGCACAACCGCTGAACTCATAGGTTTCAATCTTCAATGGGTCGGATTTCACTGTTTTGCGTTTTTCGGATCTCTGCATTTATTTTTATTTTTTATTTTTTATCAGGGCAAATGGCAAATTGTTTATCTCTATCCACATGATTTTCCTTACTCTAGAGCTCTCTAAAACTACAAATAGATGAACGAACCACCTAACCAGACCATGATTTATAATCATAGGTGCAGTTTACAGGATTCCATAGAAATCCCTCGTGAAACAAAAAAATTTTTTTGGATCTCCCATTGATAGCTGCTTTTTTCATTGTCGGCTGCAGTATCTCATACCGATGCTACCGTATGCGAATGCGCTTTGAGACCTCACACTATGTAATGCAATGGCCTAAGCTGGAAGGCAAAGATTCCCATAAGAAGCTTTATTGTTACTGTTTGTATTTCTTCCATGATTTTAACGTAAATTGTTGAATTTTCAAGAACTTTTTTCTGTTTTCCAACATCGGTTGTTTAAAGTGAATAAAGAAGCAAGTAAAATAATAGTTGAAATGAATCCACTCCAGGAAACTATATGTGAAATGTATACTAGTAGAAACAAAGCGCTAGTTTCTTTACAAAAAAATGGTCTCAAAGGAAAGATTTCTGAGACGCTTTCCAAATTTTGGCCAACTTACAACCTCATAATTCTGCGAAAAAAGGTGTGGCTGCCGCAAAAAATATTTTTTGAGTTTGTTCAAACTTTCTGGACTATAGTAAAAAGATCTTATAATTAGTTACAATCCCCCTTCCCCCAACTGTTAAACAATAAAATTTTTTACTAATAAGGGCTACGGTATCTTCTATGCTGTATGGCTACAAATTTGAATCTTATCGAATACTATGAGGAACAAAACGCCGCAAAAAAAATTTCATGTGAAATTACTCAAAGAAGAAAAGACCTCAGGGGATTTTCAAACATGTAACTCTGCTTACGCTCTTAAGTTATGGTTTCCGAAGAAAGATATAGTGTGTCCGTTTGATGTTTTTCGTATCAACGCTGAATTCAATTTCGTTTCATGAATGGTGCATTTTCCTCTCGGGAGCTTCCGTCTTTGACATGCGCATCGTTTTTTGTAAACCATTTACATGCTTGAGAATTTCGTTTGCGAGCAGCTGGAGGACCTTTTATTGCGCATAAATTGGGACATTTTCTATGTGAAGGAGGAGTCTTCATTCTCTGAGGGGAGCTGTACTTTACAAAGGTCACTTTACAGTCTGAAAAATTGCGCATTTTTCCAGAGAGAGGTAACACGGCTTATACAATGATCACTTATCATAATGGTATGAATGACGTTAGTCTGAGGAGAGCACATAACTTGGGAAATATGACGGGTTTTTCAACTCTTGCGATTTTTGAAAAATTTTACAGTAATACTTTGAAAAAAGGCTGTGAAATAAAATAGTTCGCAAAAAGCCCAATTTTTCAAGCATCACACATGCCTCCTCCCTACCCTACCAAACTCCCTCATCTCGAGAAATAGTGAAACTCGTAATTTCAGGGATTTTCACGCGAATCCATTTCTTAAATGCTAAACATTTTTCGAATACACGAATGATAGGAATTATTGGACTGGACTTTCAATTTAATCTCCAATGAGAGGACTTTTTAATCGTTTTCGAATTAACCCTCAAGAGACCTGCTTATTAATTTACTCCTCCTCCTTACTATATTTAGTCTTGAAACTATTTTTATTTTTTATGCGTTTATTATATTCAGCCCAGCGCCAGGATTGAGACATTCAATATCCAAATTATTATTTTAGCAAACTCTAAGTGAACTATAATTTCTCCATATGGCACATTTTCTCTTCTGTATATGTCCTGCTGACTCTCGCTAAACTTTCTGGAAGTTTCTATAACAAACCTATATCATAACGAGAAAATTTGGATACCCTGCTAGCCATTGTGAGGCGAAAAGATACTAGAACACAGGTCCAGCTGACCGATGATGTGATTTTGCTTTTTCCCTTCCTTGAGAAAGCTGGTGTGCTAGCTATCTACCCGGGATAATCATAGGTCTTGCCGCTTCAAATCTCCGGAGAGTACGTTTTCCTATACATCCGGGTTTGCTAGGAGTACCAAACTGAAGAAGCATCTCCGGAATGGCAAATTGTCAGACATACTCAGCTAAGAGCTTTATGTTATGTGAATGAAAATGATGTGATTTCATATTTATTCTTACGGTGCGCAGACTCAGAGGCATTTTCTTACAATGCAAGACTTGCTCATTAAAAGTCACGCAGATTAAGACAATTGTTCATGAGTGTGTAGTATGCCTGGCATAAAAAACAGGTATATCAAACGTCATTACTTATCATCTATCTGTTCCTCTTCACAAAACTTCCGTGTGTAGAGAATTCACTAAGCAAACGTATCAATATCGAAAAGTGGGTAATTAGTCTCATTGGGTTCCAGAGCAGTAATCACAAAATTTTGAGGCTTGTCTTCTATCATCTCAGTGTTTTATTACTGAACGGCCTAGTTTTGAAAACATTGTGATTCATGTAACGTAAGTTACTCTTCAGCTTAATTATTTTGAGTTACTGGTTAACATTGAGACGTTTATCTCATAATAACTTTCTTTTCGGTAATTTCTGCGGAATTTGTTATTTCTTCCTTCACCTATTGTATTACCAATTGAATCGAAGATACACCTGTGCTTTTGAAAAGTCCTCCTCCATAATTCGCTATGTCTTCATTTTATTAGGTTGAACACTAAGTTTTGCAACTGGTCTCATAACTTCCCTCTCACTCAACATGGTGCACTCGAATTTTGCCACTGTGTTGGTTATTATGTAAGTTACAAGCGCAGCTTCTGTCCTACCAAATTCTGACGTCGCAGTGAGGGTTACGGTAGGTGTATGGAAGGGGATAAATTCAAAATTTGACGGATTTGGCTGAAACTTGGCACAAGGGTGTCATCCGACATGCTGATCACGAAAACAATATTGAAATTGCGTGATAAAGGCTTTTTTGTGGGATTACTGTAGGCGTACGATATGGGGTCTCACCCTAAACAAGGAAAAAGGCGTTGATTCAACAAATGAATGCGATATTCGCGTTTGGCAGGTCAAATAACCTTGTTATGTAAAGTCTTGACGGAATTTGAGTTTCGGACTCTTTAGTCACTGACGGTCGTCCCCAGCAGCTCTTGCGTACATCGACTCGTTCGACTTTATGAGGACGCCAAATCTCGACATGCTCCTAAATTTTGTTTCTTTCTTAATAGACCAAAGGAGTCAACCTCCAGCAATAATTTGCAGACGAATCCGGATTACTGCGCATGGTCTAGGCTGCAAAAGGCTTCATTTTAGCTTGAAACCCCAAAAATTCCCAGATTTCACTAGTTCTCGGAAAACGCCTGAAACTTTTCTATTTCGTGTTCAAAATTTAGACAAATTGTGCTCACTTGTAGCTCACATTGCATTCTACATGATGCCAAAGTTTGAGTGCGCCATGTCGAATGGGAGCGAAGTTATGAAACAAGTTGCAAAACTTAGTGTTCAACCTAATATCTTCCTTTCGTTTCCTACAGTACTTATCATTTTGCAGACTTTTTACTTCCTTTATTCTAATCTTCTCATCCTCCAGTGCATCACAAATTCGT